GGGACTCGGATGGATGGTTGGTGGAAATGGCGCCTCTAGTGATATGTACTATACCACTTCACCAGTCTCCACTATTCGCTGAACACCGCTTCCAACAGAAAGGCTTTTTTGTAAAGGCAACATGTCGCGTTATTGCTTAAAGGTTACAGCTAGATTCATAGAGCCGACGTCAGGGGAACAAATTCGCCTTCTTTGCTTTTTCGAAGCACGTCATACGAAGTGGGTTGTCATAAACCTTCCACCACTGTTGAACCGTAGTTCGCTTTTTGATCTATATCTTCGACATTGCCATTGCTGTATTTCAGCATAGGCGACGCAAGAATTAGGCATTCTTTGAGCGGGCAATAAAACCTCCACCCTCAAAAGGTCAAACTACCCTTGGGACCAGCTTTCCAGACAAATCGAATTTTGAACCTCACATCGAAAGATTGAAAAAATTGTGTAGCCATAAAGAAATGCTGGTCGGCTGCTGGGGTTTTTGAGGTCGCCTTTGTGCGAGAAATGGTCTTTGAAACTCTATGTACAGGGGTGATGGGAGATTCTGTATATCGTTTTCACCTTCATCGCCACTTTACGCCGAAATCTTCTTTAACCCATTTCAATAGAAACCAACGTATGGAGCATGTCAGTAACCTGCAGCTGAGCGCGTAACTACTTTTTGTTCTCCATGCCATTTTCTGCTTTGCTTTGAACCGGAACCTCAAATTGTCCAGGCTCAAATTCTAATGAATTTGATGCGATACTGCAGAAGCCAAACAGCTAGCAAGAAGAAATTCACCACTATCTTCACCCAAATTTAGAAGCACCAAAGCACAAACGAGAAAATCTCTTTGGCTAGACGTGTGCTCATGTGTAGCTCGAGCTTATAAACACGAATGTCGCACTTGTTCGAAGCGGGATGGGGCCCTCACAGTTACTATGGTTGCCTTGAAATGTGTGATTATGACACTTTTATACACAACCAGTTTTGCTCCGCCCGCCATCGCGCGCATCACACGGCATGCTTTAGAGAATTTGAAAGACCCATGGAATATCAGCATGAGGTCCCCCATAACCACCTCACAATTGAATGTGTTGGACTTTTCCCAGTTTCGCTGAAGTTCATCGAGAATACGCGCGATAACGTCTGGAGCTGAACTGGCATATTTATCCCACAACTGTAAACATCCACCATTCTTCTTGAATTCAGATAATTTAGCGGTGAATAGAATTGCTGTCAATCTCAAAACAAATTGAACTATGCCTATTTACATAACTGAAGAGCTAAGGCTTATCATTCATTTACATTCATCATTATTTAGAACCCCGAAAGGATTAGCGGTTTAATGAGTTTGGGCTTTGTTGATAGGAATGAAAGTTATCATTTGCTGAAGACTTGATTGAGTTCACGCAATAGACTGCTATTAAGGAGGCTAGTCATACAATGATACAGTATGCACGTACCACTACAAATGAATTTGTAAGTAGGGACGCTCTAGTGTCAGCGCAAGCCACGTAAGGGAATCGACGACTTTTGCGATCGACGCGCCTTATCAGCCTTTATCAGCTGTAACCACTTTCAATCACCCACCAACAATGTCCCCGTCCCACACCACATGACACCTGCGAGTATGGACACTCTGGTGTCAACGCAAGCCAGGTAACGGAATCGACGACTTTTGCGTTCTGACGCCCCTATCAGCCCTTATCAGCTGTAACCACTTTCCATCACCCACCAACAATGTCCCCGTCTCACACCACATGACACCTGCGAGTATGGACACTCTGGTGTCAACGCAAGCCAGGTAACGGAATCGACGACTTCTGCGTTTCTGACGCCCCTTATCAGCCCTTATCAGTTTGCTATCGCTTGCTCATGTACCACCGTTGTCGGACCACTCTACAGTAACGCTTTGTAAGTATAGACGCTCTTAGCACCATATTGAGCGTCAAAACGAAATTGGCGATTGCTCGCTTTCTTATGCCCTCTTATCAGCTATATATTCAGTCGCTATCAGTTCTATCACATACCACTTGAGTTCCCCATTCCACCCCTTAATATGTGTAGGACCATGGCGCTTAGGGGTTGCTGTGACCGAGCTACGAATTTCGGGGACAAACACACACACACCACAGATCCTACGCATACACACACAAACATACTTAGCGAATTATATATAGTAGGATGATTATTAAATTTTACGTCAGCATGCCATTCTATCTCTGTTTACAGATTTCCATTCAAATTGGAGGATTTATTTGGCTGTCGAAAAAACAAGCGAAGAAGTCGTGACTGACTATCTAAAACAAGCCTATCCTTTTGCAGACTGAAACTTCAAGATTAGATTTTAGATGCGAAAAATGATTTTTAAGTTAGCAGCGAGCACAAATGAAAAAATGCAAAACTCTCGACAATCAAGAACTCGAACCTTAGGCCTTGCTGACAGTATGCTGGTATAGCAATCGCTCAACCGCCACTACAATTCCATGCAGCCTACGCGTCTCTGTTCAAGCTGTGATTGAGTATGTCACATAAAGTTTTACGGCTCTGCACACGGATCCCACAGGTATGGAGTATAGATCTGAGCTCAGAGTTTGATGAGGTTTCGGGTGATCCACATCTCATGTCAAATGGCTTTTTAACAAAATTCTTCCTCAAAAAGCTTCAAAAATTAAGGCCAAAAATTGAGGTCACGTCAAACTACTAGAAGGCAAGATCACCCCACTGCTCACTGGTCATTTTTGAAACCTGAGAATACGAAGTTCTGTTCGAGTCTCTCGGGAATATCGAACAGTTGTATAGTCTACAACAACACAGATAATGTACGTCGAAAAAGGTGGACTTATGAAAGCGCATCACATGGAAATGGGAAGAAGTTCGCTTCAGGGATGCTCTTCTATACTTTTAGCTTTAATATAACCGTCGGACTAGTGGACATTTCAGTTTTTCAGTGCACTGCAAATTTGGCCTGTAAGCTCATTCAATCACCGTTTAAATATTTATTCTCAGTCAACTTCCTGACAGAGCCTTCTCAGCACATTCTGCAGAATATCTCGGTCGGCCACATCCTGAAAGCATTCGTACGCCCTCTACATAATACACGTATCAGAACGTCAACTTACCAACATTCTAGACACTTTCTTAGTATTTTGGATATCCCCAGCAACTCTCAAAATATCGGAGCTATATGGATCCGTACGAACTACTACATACAGAATCTTCACCCCTTGGCTCCTCAACTGAAATCATAATGCTGGATAGTGACACTTGATGGTGTGTAATTAGTACTTATGCAACATTGTGCTCATTATGAAAAAGATTTACTAGAAAAGAAGGTGCTGACACTGAGTACTCTTGTTCCCGGCGACCGTGGAGTATGTTCTTTTTTTGTGAAAACTTCACGCTTGCGGCTGGCTTCCTTTCACATGTGACACCAACAGCTCGTGGAGGGGATGCGCTTGCACAAAAAAAATCGTCTTACATACAGCCTTCTAGAAAGGTTCTTAAGTCACAATGCACATCCAGAATGGGACAGAGATCTGTCATGTCATGCGCTATCAAGTTGCAGCCCACGTGCATCGCCGGGTATGCGCATCGATACTCCCACACCTAACATTGTGCATCGCCGGGAATGCGCATTTTGCTCTCCAGTGAACATTTTTCAGTAAATTTCATGTTCGGTATTCTTGGAACGCGGGCATCTCGACATTTTGTGTTTTTTCTTCTCCTATGCCGTACAGGTTTTCAGGCGGATGCCGCTTATTGGTCAACGTTTCGACAAAGCGTCGGGTTTAAGACCTGAAACCGGTTCGAAGTTCTAGCTTCTGACTCTTCCAGTGAAGCGCCCAATTTCGTTCAGTTCCCCTAAACTCAAAACAGAACACAACAGAACATTCCCAATCAATGAACCAACCTGTGATTCCACTAGTCCCAAAGCAGCCTCCCCTCGTCAGTGAGCAAGATAAAATGGGACGCAATGGACAGTGAGTGTCTTAAGTGTCGTATGTGGTGGTCTCGTAATTTACATAAAGGCATGAAAGGCAAGAAGTCATTTGTTACGGTCATGCATTCATTTCGCTATATCCCATGAGCTCCCTTATCACCACACTCCATTTGTGGGACCGACAGACGGTACAGACATACATTACATACATACATACATACATACATAATACATACATACAGTGACCCATACATGACATACTCATACATACATTTACATAACATAACATAACATACATACATACATACATACATACATACATGACATACATACATACATACATACATACATACATACATACATACATACATAAGTACATACATACATACATTACATACATTAACATACATACATACATACATACATACATACATACATACATTACATACATACATACATACATTACATACATACATACATAGAAACCGACACACTCAAGTCAGCCGGTTTATATAAATCCTTCATATTTTATTAAAGCCGCTACTTTGAAAAGTGTGTCGGCTATGTATGTTTGTATGTGTGTGGTCTGCTATGTTATGGTATGTACAGTCCCGAGATCCGTGAGTTGGGGTAGGCGTGGTCACCGGAAAGTGACGGGATTAGATAGAAGTTGCCCCGAAGGTAAGTCCTTGCCAGCATTGCTTTGACTTGGATATCTCTCGAGTATTATTAAGTACCTTATCCACGCAGATTCTTATCACAGGACACGTCAGTGTTCGGTGACACGCTACCCCAACTTACGGATTCTCGAGTCAGTATATGTATGTATGGTCTGCTGTGTCCGTCCGCAAAATAAGTGTGCAGTGAGAAGGAAAGCTCAATGGGATAAACAAATCGCTAACCAAATCGTGAGTAGTAGCTTACAGGGATGTTAGATATCAATGTTGTTGTAGCAGGTATAGTTGCTGATAACACTCTTCAGGCTATATAACACCTGCTTAGCACACTTCGGTGTCTCCACACGGCTGCTGCAGTGGCCAGCCGGGAGGCAGTTGGGAGAGGAAGGGAGGATGAGGGAGGGAACGCGAAAAACTTACCGCTTATCATTGATTGTGTCCCTTTCTACTGCTACGAAACACATTTGTTGTTGCATACGCTGTCACTTTCAGGTGTTGGTGTCACAGGAGGAAGGGGACCATAGCGTGCAGCGATAGAAATGCTTGCGCAGGAAAGTAGAAGGATAAGCTCTGGAATTTTCATTGGATCAAAACATTACCCTTGATTGTCGTTCTACTCGGGTGCTGCGAGATGAGTGATCAGACTTTCTTGCCTCTTCCCGCTGTACGTCATTAATGCGAACGCCCATAAGCCTGTCCGCTACTCATTCAGCATAAAATTCGCCACACATTTGAAACAGTTGAAGTTAGGACACATTTTATTGCCATATCATTCTACCCGTCACGCGGTATTTTATTGGCCGACGCCCCACCACATATACGAAACACATTTTTTTGTTGGTATACAAGTCACCTCCACAGAGCTTTACGGTCTTCCGCTGGGTAGACCCGGAGCGAAGACGCTGACGCTCACCCAGGAAAGGTTCCGGCGCTTGACGGGGATCAATCTGGTATTGATCAAAGGTATACGTCATTCCACTAGAGCTGCTCGTTGCCAATTGCCACTGCCTGATAGCCACGCTTAATCTGACCTATCCGATAATGTTCGGGTCACATCTGGTTGCCTTTCCATCATTGGCAAACGAGCCAGTTTCCATTGTATATACACCCTCTGAGCACCTTTCCGGTCATTTGCCGCCGCCTACCTTGGCAGCGGTGAAGCCAAGTGAGAAAGGAGGCTGAGCTGAGAGGGGGAGGCTAGGAAAACCAGTCACCAACAAATCAAAGTTGCAGTTAGTTCATTGCGCCATATCATTCTACCGTCACGCTGTCAATTATGGCGACGCCCCACCACTATACGCAAACACATTTTTGTGTGTATACACTCACCTCCACGAGCTTACGTCTTCCGCCTGCTGAGACCCGGGAGCGCGAAGACGTGAACGCTCACCAGGATGTCCGGCCGCTTGACGGCTGGGATCATCTCGGGTAGTTGATCAAAAGTTTACGTCATTTTCACTAGAGCTGCTCGTCAATAGCACTGCTTATAGCCACGCTTAATTCCAGATCCGATACTTCTACTGTACGAAACACCATTGTGTTGCATACGCGTCACTTCCAGGAGGTGTTGGTGTCACAGGAGGAAGGGACCATAGCGGAGGATAGAAAGCTTGCGCAGGAAAGTAGAAGGATAAGCTAGAACTTTTCATTTATCAAAACATTACCTTGATGTCGTTCTACTCGGTGCTTGCCGAGTGCAGTGATCAGACTTTCTGCCTCTTCCCCGCTGTACGTCCATTAATGCGAACGCCCATAATCCTGTCCGTCTCACCAGCATAAACTTCGCCACATTGAACATTGAAGTTGGTACACAATCCCTCGTTGGGCACATCTGGTTGCCTTCCATATGGGCAAACGACGCAGTTTTCCATGTATATACACCCTCTGAGCACCTTCCGGTCATTTTACCGGTCCTACCTTGGCAGCGGGAAAGCAGTGAAGAAAGGAGGCGAGCATGAGAGGGGAGGAGGAAAACCAGTCACCAACAAATCAAAGTTGCAGTTAGTTATTGCCATATCATTCTACCTTATAATGCTGTGCTGTAATTATGGCGACGCCCCACCACTATATGAAACACATTTTTGTTGTATACACGTCACCTCCACGAGCTTTACGTCTTCCGCTGTAGACCCGGAGCGGAAGACGTGACGCTCACCCAGGAAAGGTTCCGGCGCTTGACGGGGGATCAATCTGGTATTGATCAAAGTTACGTCATTCACTAGAGCTGCTCGTGCAATGCACTGCTTTATAGCCACGCTAATCCTATCCGATATGAAAGACAATTGGAGGGGCGCCATCTGTGACTTATCGAGGAATGCCCTTGTTAACCATCGCGATTTCTCGTAGGATTTTCATCTGAACCTGGTTCTTCGCGTCCCATTCCATAACGGTCGCTGTCGGAACCTAGCTCACATAACTCATCTCGCTCCACGTTGCCTATACGAACTCGAGCTGCTGTTTTGTACATGTCGAACAGGTTTAACATCACTAGAGTGTGCAGACTTCGCATGAAGTAAGATGTTTTTTGAGCTGCTTTTCCGACACCACTTCAAACTATACATCCCGTTCGAGGTTTTTATCTGTGTGTTCAGGTAAGACAGCCATCCATTGTGCGGAGCTTCTCTTGTGAACTTTATCTACTGTGACTGTTGATTGAGCATGCTGAATAATTCATCCATTCCAAATTGTGTTGGAGTAATTACACAGAAGTCAGCAATATCTCGACAGTACATAGTGGGCATGCGTGCTATCACCGGTTGTTCTATTCTGCCCATAAATCAGGTAGCTGAAACGGGGGCTAGACTCTGACCTATTATAAGCATCCG